TGTACGTTTTTATTTATTTATCTTAACTTTTACACATCGCTGTGATTAAATAAATTCGTTTATTATTTGTTGAACTGGATTCTCTTTTTAAAAAAATTTAAAGCTAAGCAGCGTCATCTTTTTCGTGTTTAAAAGGAGATAGTGACCCAGACAGACTTAAGAAACGGATTAGCCAGAAACAATAAACAATAAATCGAGCTTAGTATTGAAGATAATAGCACTTTTGAACTCTTAAACACAGGGGAATTTATAAACTCACTGCGAACTCTTGGTTGTTCTGCAAAAAAGAAACCAAATTGTCTATGAAAACAAGACGCGGGCAATTAGATGGAGATTAAACGGTCATGGTGCTTTTTCTTCTGTTTTGAATACATTGATCACTCACCACGATTAGAGTCAATGCACATTAAAACTAAGGTAAGCGTGGTGTTCACTTTAACAATTTAAAGAGAACTATTTGGTGGGCGATGTCTGGAGAAAGATCAAAGCCGTTTGAGTTGGCCAGTTGTGGTGAAAAGGATCTAGGGTCAAATTCTACAAGAAACCTTCGTCTTTTTGATACACCCTACGTGCTGATAGGTCTTTAAAGGTTGGCCTGTTATACCAGTTACTTAGTAAATAACTAACAGCATTGCAATCACTTGTCACTCAAACCAGACTTTGTAAATTTTTCTACCTAATATGGCCTACACTAAAATGATAGTTGGCATCTTGTGGCGATTTTTATTCATTTGAAGATATTGCATAAAAAAGACCCGAACATCCTTATCGTACATTTGTAAGTTAATGGTCTTGATTTTCAAGTACCACTGCTACGATAATAAACGTAGTCTTTCCCTTTTAACGTTTAAAGAAGATATGACAGACATTATTTAATCCACTGTATATCTCAGTCATCCGATGGGTCTGCCATGTGAATAATGTCTAAATAATAGTTTATACAACATTTCAAGCTAAAAAGAAAGATCCGAAATTGGCAGAATTAACTCTCAGATGGTGCAACTTTAAATTGTTATTTCGAAAATATAAATTATACATCTATTTGGAATACTAAAATCTTAAGACATCATAAATCACAAGATATTACTATGCCCCAAATTATCTAATAGAGAAAATATTCAAGTTATATTCTAAAACTCTGGATGACAACTGGATGGTTCAGCAATCTTCCATCTTATCTCTGCTAGAACCCTGATTATTTATTTTTATCGGTTCAAACTTTTTACCACCACGTTAGATATAAACAAATTCTTCTCGCTAGAAGCTGGATAGATATTTATCAAAATGTCAGATCTAAAGCCAGGGGTCGACAACATTTTCTGTTGTATGTCACAGATAAATATTCAATGTTCCAGACCTCCCGCGTTTTATACATATTTACTTACATTTCTGCCACAATATTTATCATCAGACGGCTTGCAAATTTACTACAGAAAAGCGCGAACCCTAACAAGTGAGGATTGTGGTTATGAACTCTGTGTTCTAGCCATGCACCACAGCCTCCATCGGAAAAAGGGAAAGACAAAACATTCCGGGGTCCTTAAAATACAAAATTACAACAAAACTTCATTATGTGAACATCATTAATTTATATTGAAAATATGGCAAAAATGAGTAAATTTGCATCATCAACTGTGATAAGGATTTTAATTTTTAAAAATGGAATCGAATTGATTAGGTGGGTCATTTTAAAACTAACATTAAAACAGACAAGAATGATTAGTGTACACAGGCAATTAAATATTTTAATATATCCTCAATGTTCGTTCCTCGTTCATATTTAACATTAACAGAATTACAGCAAAACTTTAAATGTCAAAACCTGACATTTTCGTCAACACCTGATACGAAATGAAATGAAATGAAATGGGGTTTAACGTCCTACTCTTCTGCTCCGACTGGGCTATGAAGGAAATTTTGTCCGGACAGCAGTGATACGGCCTACACTTGTATCGAATTCCAACTGCCAAGGGATCGTTTACGTGCATGCCAATCTGACATGGGACCATGTTTTATTTAGCATCATCCAATTAACTAGACAGCTGTCCTTGTTAGACCCTCCGTCCTGCACCACTGACAAGGGGAAACCACGCCTGAAAATCTCGATGAACTTTCTTGGCCAACATCGGAATCGAACCCGCGACCTCCAGGAAGGTGACCCAACGTCTTACTCACTTAGCCTGACACCACTTTTCATATGAGTAGTTCGCTTAGGTAAAACCAATGTTTATATTTATACCTAAAACTGAATAGACAACCCAAACTGAATTGAAAGGATACGAAAGGGTCACATAAGGTCACGTCAGGCTCTTACTTTTGTTTTCATTTTGGCAGTCACATGAGGTTACGTTTGTTGAGTAAAGCTCCCGTTCCCAGCATATTTGTTGGCATTAACTGTGTTTCTTTAGCATAAAGATTAAAGAAGCTTACCGTAAATCTAACAACAGAGGGGCAAGTAGTCAAAATAAACTTTTATCCTTAGCCAATCGCATTCTCTGTTACGTCAAGTTATGTCCTTTTTGTTGTCGCTTATCAGTCAGACACACTTTTATTAGTCTCTGTTTTCAAGTGGAAGTAGTCTTATAATTATTTTATTTTATTGAAGTAGTAATGAGAAAGGTAATATCAGATATGATTTACTAAATAACCACTATGTTAGTCCCGTTCTAAAATATTTTGAAGGCCTTAAGACTAAATCTCTAGTAAATCGAGTCAAACGACTTGTTATTCTGGACACCATATGTTTTACTCTAAGACTTACGCTAAAGTAAACAAAGAGCTTTTTAAAACAGAAAATAGTTGAATTCTTTCTGCATGGAAGAGAACATGTTAGGTATTTTAACAATGGGTCGTCCATTTCTACTACTTCACACGTCGATTCTGAGAAAGAATTTTCGACCATGTCTGGATTTGATCTTGAGCAAAACCATCGAGTGAAGTGTGATTAGATTTCAAAGCTATAGTAAAGCTAGTAAATACCCCAAAATAAAACATCAAAATACATTCAGGAAACATTCGATTCTCTTCAAACTCTTTTTTTATTTAGAAAAGATTAAAGACGAACGACTTAAAAAGTATTAGCGTTTAGGAATAAATATCTTCAGCAAACAAATCTTTGGCAAGGCGTTTGTTTTCTTGGGTTAAACCGATCTTCAGTAAGAAGCGGGATTACCGATGAAGGCTATATCTTTAAAGGAATATATAGAACTAGCACTCTCTGTCTAGTCCCTATACACGGTATGTTATCTGGTAGAAACAATTTTTCATTTCCTGTGTCAAGATGTGGTAATATTATGTTGTCCTTATGTTCTCAAGAGACAATATAAAACATCTGTATTTATTCTGAACAACTAGTGCGTTGAATAAGTCATATATATTATAAATATTCTATTATTTCATGCTCAAGTCCATGCCCCTCATCTTGATTCATTTCAAATCGGTTACTGGTTTGTTTTTGTTTTAAAATCGGTGCGTTTCTGCCCTACTTGATGAACTATGCCTTTAGTAGGTCATTCCACATTCAGAATGTAAACAACTGCATTTTCCGAATTTTTAAATTTGTTTTTTTAAAAAAATACATAGTTCAGAATTTATTCAAATGTAATTACTGTCATTTGTTAGTATTTTATTATTCTAAAAAAAAATTCCATATTTTGCAAAATATAACCAGAAAATTGGTCGCTGAAAATATTAAAGAAAAATTTTCTAACATATATTTTTTGTTTGAAATAATCACTGATTATAACTTCAATGGTTATTTTGAATTACTTTGTCCAAGAACAAGATTAATTTTTGATGATATTTTTTTTTAAATTCCAAAATTAAAACCTATATATTTTTTAATATTAACGGAGCATCTGGGAGAAGTATAGCACGGTATGGTGTCTTGACGGCGTGTTTTGCAGGACTGGTTGTTGAGTTTTATTACGGGTGAACTTTATCCCATGCCCCATTAGTATCAAGGTTTTTCGGCGAGGGGGGGGGGAGTAAGTGTGAAATAAGGTGGGGAGAGGGAAGATGTGGCGTCAGCTGTGTGCCTGTTCATGTATAATCAATATTTTAGATAGGACCTTGGAGGTTTTTGTGGGTTTTGGTTTTCCTCACCTGGAGACCTGTGAATATTTTGAGTATTAAGAACATTTCGAGAAACTGGCTATATTTCGTAGTTTAGTGAGATATTTCTCATTCTGGTGACACGTGTCAAACAAAACACAATACAGTCAGTATCACATGTTCTACTTTCATAAGTTTCACTGTGCCTGATTTGTTGATAATGGAAAAAAGTAGGGCCTAGGTTGGTCTCTCGGGAAGGATTAAATCGAAAATATTAAATATGCAAATAAGTATTTATGACCATCGAAACAAAAATTGTCGTAGTTAGGTCAAATGGGAGAAAATTTTAAAATGCGGAACAAATGTCTGCCCCACCCCATTCCAACCCTCCCGGTTTTGACGAGGCTCGCGTCGAATATTGAATAATTGATAAACATTAGATAAAAAAAAAGTATAAGCATTAAGTAATTTTATACGGACATCTCAGTCTCTGTAGAATTGTGTTGAATAACAGAATATATCAATATTAATATTATACTGTGAAAAGAACCAAAACCGAACCTATCTTCCCATGTGGATCTAAATGAATTAATGTAGACACCCGTTCATATAAACCATTATAGTGATTATTATATCAGGTCGAAAGATCGCTTAAAATATTCATTTTATAATAATAAATGACACGAATCTACTACATTTATTTTAAGTGCATATTCTGCTCAGCATATAGATTAATGCAAATAAAACAAATTTTAATTTAAATAAAAATAAATTGCTTACACAGGTTTCAGTTAGTAACACACAAGAAAATATTGTTTTGCAAATTTTATTAAAAAAAAAAAACCTCTAGTTATTTTGATCTTTTAAATGTTGACTAATCGTAGAAAACATTTTTTTTCAATAAATATAGTAGTAAAAAAGTTTATTAAACTCTCGCCAGTTAAAAGTAGATCATATTAAAAAATATATATGTTAAAGATGGAGAAGACCGAAATAAAAAAATCGAACAAATTAAGGTGTTGTGTTTTGGGGTTTTTTTTTCAATAAGAGTTGAATTAATGAACCATGATGATGTTATGTACTTGATGAATCACGGCTAAAACAGGTTTATAAATAAAATTAAACGTGTCTCTTTATAAAACAAACGATGAGTCATTGATGATCTAATAAAATAGATGTTATATCAGTCCAACGTGCAAAACCCCATATAAGGACATCAAATTAATAATAAGGTAGATAACGAAAACAGTTAAAAGCAGTTTCATGATTAAAATGTATGTAACTCTCTGTTGTATTTCACAAATTAAATTAATTATTCATTATAAATTAACTATAACAAGGATTCTAGGGTATCGCATTAATGTAAGCCCCACCTTTAAACTACACAAAAAAAACAAAAATAACCTTCTTCTAAGAATCTTCATCACTGCATGAAACGCTAGATTAATATATTTCATATTCTCCAATTTCTTCTCAGTTAGCTTTCAAGTGGGCATCCCTAAAATAAATAAACATTTGGTACAGTTCCATTTAAGAAAAAATGTTAATCTTTATGTGAAAATAAATATACATGCACATAAAATTATTATTGAAAATGGGTTCATACAAGGTGAAGCTCTATCCCCTATTTTATCAATGTTAAGTGCAGTTATATTTTAATTGAAGATTTACTGCGTTTGGTCTTTGCATAGTGGTAGAAGCGTATAATATTTTCACAACTTAAAGTAAATAGGAATATATTTGTATAATGTTGAGAGAAAGTTGAAAATGTATGTAATTAGCATATCACTGACACTTGCATGTTAATCGATTTAACAGACTGTTATTTTGCAAAACGGAAAGTAAGTCCACAGATGTAAATAATGTCAAGGTTTTCTATACTCATTTTTTCTCGTGCAAGGAAATGGAGTTTTTACGTATACAATTCGTTTATGTCTTTGTAAAGCTGTGTATCTGTGTACAATTATGTCAATGTATGTATCCTTTGTTTGTTTCATGTATATTTCTATTATGTTTTAGTCTGGGGGTCGGGTGTTCAATCCCTGCATTGGCCGAGAAAGTTCATCCAGATTTTCCGGCGTGGTTCTCCCTTGTCAGTGATGCAGGACGGAGGGTCTGACAAGGAAAGCTGTCTAGTCGTTCGGATGGGACGAAAAACCGAGGTCCCGTGTACACATTGGCGTGCACGTAAAAGATCCCTTGGCAGTTGGAATTCGATATAAGAGTAGGCCGTAGTGGAGCTGTCCGGGCAAAATTTCCCTCATTGCACACTGTATGGCGTATGCCCGTCTTCATTAGCCCAGGTTAGGAGCAGAACAGTAGGACATTAAACTCCATTTCATTTCATTTCATTTCATTTCTATTATGTTTATTTGTATATGCACATAGCCTTGTGAGGTTTTTATGCAATAAAGTTTCTTCTTCTTCTTCTATATATATTTTACAGGTTTCCGTTTCTGTTATCAAGAGTATTGTATTAAATTAAAAGATTTTTGTCACGCTGGGTTATTAACGATATAGACCTTGACTCTTGTGTTTGTAAAAATAAGAGTTATTATGTATGTAGTAGTATTCTTTAGAAAATTTTAAACTTATCACTCAGTGATGTATAACACGTACTAAAGACATCAAACAAATGTCAAAATATAACTACATCCGAATTATCAATTAACATATAAATTGTAGAAATTGTGAAGTGGACATTATACTTCTTTTTTTTTTTTAATGAACTGGTTTGGATGAATTGACGTATTGATGTTGTAAGCGACAGGGAAAGCAACATTCCACAGTAAATGTTTGCTAAACTAATGTATTTCATCTTGATTGACAGGGTTAATAGGGTACATTTCATTCATGGGAAGAGAGCCATTTATAAAACTGAACAATTAATATCTAAGATTATCAGAAGATCAAGTCTAGTACCTACTCAAATAATCTCGATAAATTAATACGGCACAAAGCCTAGATACAATAGAGCAGTAATTTCACAAATCAGGGGGCATGACCAAGTCCTTGAGTTCACAGTGATTTATCTATATGAATCTATTCTTCTTCTATGTACACACTCCAGGTCATCGTAAAGGTTAATTTAAATATCCTAAATCAAAATCTCGTTATTTACCAAAAAAAGTGCAAAATCATTGACCCCATTATTCATTTAAAATCGATAAACATCTATTAGAAAATTGCAGTAATAGATAAACATTTTCAATGCTTCAAGTGACAGTACTCAAATAGTTGGCAGTGACAAGAGAGGTAGGGATGGGACTTCAGAAAACCTCTTATAGTATTTATCACGTACAACTGTGAGATAACATGTTATACGAACCATCCAACCCACGCTGCTGAAGCAGAATATGCTTAATATTTTCAGAACGTCTGATACCACTTACCACTTCCATGTTTACCAACCTCTGTCTTCGGAGCAGAACAGTAGGACGTTAAACCCCATTTCATTTCATTTCCATTAATTTGTTTATCGTGGGGTTAACGCGTGCATGTATAATGTTATGCCCCTGGGGTGACACAAACTAGTTTATTTTCACAAAAAAATCTCGAGCTGTAAATATTACAAATTTATTCGGTTCCCTATAGTCATGGTGGCGTAATTTGGGTTCACTCAGTTTAATTTCATAATGTATGAAAACACCAAAAGGAAATCAAGTTCGATTTACTCGAGCGTATCTGACATGATTTTTAATACACAATGAGGCAGAAACGTGTAGTTGATAGTAAATACAGGGTCTGATTATATCTATCTAAAGACATCAATTTTATTCCCTACAAACTTCAAAAAGTCATCTTTAATATAATTGTGTAATTAGGGAAATCATATATAATAATTTTATTTTATTTATCAAGTCTAAATGGAGATGTCTTTCCACTTGATCGCTTAGTATCAAATGTTATTAAATTTCAATTAAAAAGCGATTCTTTACAAATCAATCATCTTCGGTGTTTGATTATTAAAAAGAAATCTATACATATTTAGTTTATATACATAGATATTAATCTCGTAGCGCATACCAAGCATATACTTATACTTGTTTGTGAACTATTGGGTATGTCAATTATTATTCATAAAGGATGTCATTACATATCAAATCAAACATGTATCTGATCAGTTTGCTCTTAAAGGAGTCGTCCCAAACACATTTTAGTGCATAAAACTGGTGAATTTTGTTGAAATTACATGCAACTATCAACTGTTGTGTAATACTTCTTTGGGAACATAACAATGGTCAGTAATAACAGACAGCTTTATGGATGACATTCACTAGGTTTATTAACTGCAACGTTTCAAAGAGGTTACTCTCACTAAATGCCATTCAAAGAAACAATGGTCAGGTTTCACTCATTTGTTGCTTAACAGAACAGTTCCATGCAAATTGCGTGGAGCCGAGAAAGGCATCGGCTTTTTTATCTCGTTTATCAAGGCTTAATGTTTTAATTTGAATTTTAGTTTGCAAACTGCTAACTTAGGATAAGTATATTATACCAAGTGTTTATTTGAATACCCATTTCGAGCGCGAGAGACTTTCCATTTGGCGTTTGAGGGAGTTCTTCGTATTTGGAGTGTGAGAGACTTCCTCAGAGTTCCTCCCCATTTGGCGTGTGAGGTAATGCCTTCCGGTTTGGCGTGTGAGAGACCTCCATCCCATTTGGCCCGTGCGTGTGAGGGGCTCTCATTCCTTCCCATTTGGCATGTGAGAGACGTTCTTTCCATTTGGCGTGTGAGGGACTTCCATTCACAGGTATATATGGAAATTTGTCAGAGGGGTGGTCTCGTCTATCAAAATGTTCACACTTTAAACTAAGATTTTACCATCGATTAATAAACAACTAAACAGGGTAATATTAGCTTGAATAGAAACCATTGATATACAATTTAAAGTGGGAAGGCATTCTTATTGTGGTCAAAGGTTTCAGAAATTATTCATAATGAAAAGCTTTGTGATGGTATAACGCCCACTCCCTTTGATCTATTCAGGAAAAACCGCTACGTTAATTGAACAATAATAATTAAATATTCTTCTATACTCAACAACAATAAATGTTCTTTTCGTCTATACGTTGTCATTTTATCTTTATTTATGCTTATCAGTCAAATCAACACGAGAGTCAAATAGATCACTTAATCAACATAAACATGGTAATGTTTGTTTTCATCTCAAAAATTGGCGCTGAACTGAAACATTTAACTACAAGTCTGTACTTGTTTTTAATTCGAAGTCTCTTATTTCATCGTGTACTTGGCTAGACAAGTCGGTCCCATTCAACCTTGCATTTAGTTGACAGACATTATAAAATAGAGCTATATTTACCTGTGATACGCTTGATTTCTGATAGTTACTCTTATAGGTGTGTATAAGGTGAGGGAACTAAGTAGTGAGTGTAGTTCTTCAGAAATCTCATTTTTTCTTGGGAAAATAAGCCTTTATATTTACTTTAATAATTTATTTTCAGACAATGATCGGTGATAATTTCGGGGGAAAATTGCGATAATTTTCTAAGATATTTTTAAAGTCCCCCGAAACATATCGCGTATATTAGAATTGATGCATATAAACATAAAGAAATAACGAACAGATTAAAATGCTATTAGATATCTCATAGACGTATAACGTCCTTAAAAACATACATGACATATAATGTACATTGTCTAGATAAGATCCTTGAAACAAGACTTTGCTTTTACATCAAAGATACTTTGTAAAGCTTAAACTTATCAAAAATATATTAACAGTCATGTGAAGTCAAACAAACTCTGCCGAAAAGCCAACAATCAAAGAAGGTAATATGATAAATAAAGCAAATATAAATGCAACAAAAAAACCCAAAACTCTTTCAGATCGTCAAGATATGTTTGAAGTTTTAGTGATGAAACAATCAAGACAGTTTTTAACAGCGACCCTTGACCGGTTTACGCCAAATTGAAATTTAAAAGAAGAAGGAAGATGTTTTAGCGAAGATAATTCATTAATAGAAAGACGTAGATGTAAACGTTTAGGACATCAAAGGCACGACAATCGACTTGTCATCCATTCTGCCTCATTTGAAAAACATTTCTACTACTCTTCTCTATGGAAACCGACAATCGTTCGGCATGAATGGTTCTCTCTAACGACAGCATCCATCATTAATGATCCACGTTTTAATGGTTTGTAACTGAACGTCTTTGAAGTTGCTTAATAGCAAGGATTTAATCGCCCCTTTAAAATCGTTTCTCATACCAAAGCGTGACAAGAATTCGACAATTGACATGGAATAAGCTGATTTATTCTAATTTGGATTAACAATTTGTTCTGGTTGCAATAAACCAAAGGATAGGCGATTCATATAAATGGACCCCGTGCATTACAACTGTCCAAACGCATGAAATACATATTCTAGAAACCAGAGAAATTAAAAGAAATTAAATGCGGTTTAACGTCCTACTGTTCTCCGAACTGGGCTAATGAAGACGGGCATACGCCATACAGTGTGCTACGAGGGAAATTTTGCCCGGACAGCGGCACTACGGCCTAGTCTTATATCGAATTCCAACTGTCAAGGGATCTTTTACGTGCACGCCAATCAATGTGTACACGGGACCCCAGTTTTTCGTACCATCCTAACTACTTGTCAGCTTTCCTTTTCAAGTCCCCGTCCTGCACCACTGACAAGGGGGAATCACGCCGGAATAGAACCTAGAGATAAATAAACAATGAATAAAATGTAACTTTTGATGATTTCCCACAAAATAGTTATGCTGTCAAAACCCCAATGCTATTCTTCCCATCATATTTGAAAACAAATATTTTAAAAAAATCTAACCTATATCGAGTTCACAAGGTTTTCAGGGAAAATGAGCATAACTCGGGAACGCAGACGGTTGAATATTGATAGGGTTCGTTCTCTCAAACCCCAATCCCAATGCTTTGAAAAAAAACCCTGTTAAAAAAAACCTGTAGCCTCCATCGCGTTCACTAGCCAATTGTTGACGGACCGACAGGGTGACTACATAATACGCCCACACTGAACTGTAGGCGTATAAAATGGATCTTGTGGTATATTTGATTTCAGTTCTGCAATAACACCAGGCCACCGTGATCCTGGAATATTAATAGCCTAATAGATTACCAAAAGGTGTTGTGGTTACAAGCTGATTTATTCATTCCATGACAGTGAAATTCTTTCAATGGATAATAAAATTGTATTGATTCAGAATCTGTATAGATCCATAATTTGTATGGGTAACAAGCCCAATATGTATAAATATACTGTGGTGACCACGCCATTTAAACAAATAAAATAAAAACATCCACCCAACCCGTCAACAAATAGCTGAAAAAATCTCGTTCAACCCTTTTCTATTTCTGTCTATAAAAAAAGAATTTTACACACCGCCCAATTGCACTTGAAAAAACTTTAAGTAATAATAAATATACAGATTTTGAACATACCTAAATATCTTGTATCTGACCTTAGCGATGCTGGTAGCATATTCTGTTTAATACAATAATATTTGAATTCATATTAAATAGGCAACAATCAGAAAATACGACTATATATTGGGCCTAATTAGAATTCTGGAAATTTCAATAGTGGGAGTGATTGTCATTAAAACCCAGACTTATCCAATTTCCGCTTCCTGTTTGACTCAATTTCCAAAAGTCGATAACTTATCAAACTCTCTACTGCCTTGCAAATTACTCAGCAATTACTGCTAAATGTTTTTGTATACGTAAACACCTTCCAACCTGTTCCCGGGTCTCTTCTTTAAATAATTGACATCATACCTGGGTGTGTTCCTGAAAAACATTCCCTAGATATATTTTAGGTGATATATAGTTATTTGGTTAGTTTTGAAAGACATTAAGTAACTGACAAAGATTCTCTCACCATTTGCTTGATAAAGTTGAGAAAATCTTCGTCTCAACTTTCCATGTTAATAAACCAATAATTGTGTTTCCGTAAATAAGTGTCGGTATTTTTACCCATTAAAGGTTTATTTCCCGGGGATGAGACACACCATGTCCGGATGCGGACCATCTCTACGAAGTCAACCTCTTGACTGAATCTAGATAAAACAACAGTCTAGCCTGTATTCACACAGAACAACAACATTTCATAACACAGTCATCCTTTGTTTTAATATTTAACACGTTTTCAAACTAATATACTTATAATATATACTCGTAGGTTAATAAGGCGGAGTTTTTAACGACGCCTGTTTTTTTTACCAAGAATTTCTGGGCAACCCCAGGTTGTAGCAATATGAAACTCAAGAACATGTCTTACACGTGCAGGAAATCAGATTCCTGGGAGGGGGACTATTTTCTTTCTAATGAATTCCACATAAAAATGAGAATTACATTTCAAGTATCATTGAGTGTTTTGTGTTATCAAGTTAGCATGATATAATAATTTTGTAGTCAAAAGATATCATGTTAAACTCGAGTGTTGACAGAATAGACAGACATTATTATGATATTTGACACCTCATAAACCTATTCTCTTATATTACCATCATTACAGCTGTCTTGCACGTGCCCCGTGTCAGCCATATTTAATGAGGACGACAACCATATCCGGCCATGTGAGGTACCTATCAAAACTGCCTGTTTTTACAATTACAACTCTTCCCGGATGGATTTGTAGTTTCGTATTTACTTAATTTAGCTGTTCGTTAGTTTACGTATTTACATCATTGTATAATCTTCATAGCCTCGTACCTCAAATACAGAATTTTGATTTAAAAATGGCATTTAATTAAAACAATTCTCGTATGTCCAGTGTCAATTAATAAGATTCCACTTAAATGAGGCAAGTCGCTAACTCAATATTATCCATAGTCTTCGGCATTGTAAATACGACTTATTGGTCAATTTATATCAACATTGATCTTGTTATCTTACCGTGAAAAGATGGGCTTCGGATATCCAATATTTAAGACAAAATGAAAATTTTAAAACTGGCACACGAATCGCGTGCCAGAATGCTTTTTGAGTGCCATTTGTAATGAAACGACACGATGAACGAGGCTAAGCATGACTCATAGACTGAATACTAGCAACGTAGACTTGAATAACCAGACGCCAAAGACTGCCATTCAATTTGGACTATTTCGCCGAACATAACAGATTAGGTATTACATTAAAAACAGAAACTACCGAATGTAAACAAGTTTATATACATTTATATTACATTATTATATGCGTTGCGACCCATTTGTGTCCATTTCTAAGTGCCAAAGAATAGCGATTTAGCTTCTTTAATATAATTAACAAGGAACTTTCGATTTCTTCCAGATGTTTCCTTTGAATTTCTTCTTCATTTAAAATCTAAGAAGCATCATAGTAAGTGAAACCACAGTTTTAAGGATTGGTCCGGCCATTGGTAATCGTTTCGACTTCAAAGGTATTGTGTAAATTGTTTGAGAGGTTTCGTAGAGTGGCTGTTGTGTTTTTCATAGTGTTTAACGTTCGCTTCCACCGAAGGTGATATCGCAGACGAGTTGTCTTATTTTTATAATCTTAGCGCACGATCAGGGGTCTTTCATGTGGGAGGAAACCGGAGTAAACCCATGGGGTTGAGAAGGCGCCCCTGTCTCCAAGCCGCATACGCTCACACCAGGCTTCGAAAGCAATACCGCAAGCCAAAGGTGACCGGCCAGCTAGAGGTCGAAGTGCCACCCACCGCATAGAGTGGTAGAGACCGATGTTTGATATAATGTAGAAATATTCCTGGGCCCTGTTTCTCGAAATTTTAACTAAAGATAAAATCCAAATTCTAGTAGATACTTCAATTTTGATTGGCTAAGCACTAAAATCAATCTAATATTATCCAATCAAATTACTAAAATTTGGATTTTATCTTAGTTAAAATTTCGTGAAACAGACCCCTGGTTATTAAGACACATTTGCTGATGCCGTATATGGTAGAAGTGGGATCCATTTTAACAGTTTATACATTAAAAGATTGGGTATCTTGGGGCTAATAATCATACACAGTAATTTTACTTTGAATAGAAGTGTCAAACTCTCTTAAAATTATATTGACCCCTGTAGATAATAAGTTTGTATCAACGATCTTTATATAACATATACTTGATATAGAAACTGTTTAATAATAAACTGACTATGTTATTTTAATTGGATGGACGTTTCTTATAAAACTAAACAAACTACTTGACATTTTTGTCATTTCTATCCTGATGACAATATATTATATATGTTATTGTATTCTCTATTGTTATATGATACTTATCAAATACTATTATTATATATAGACAATCTTAACAAAACCGCCAAAACTTGAGGTCACTACTTCAGCCCGACCCCCTACATAATGAACCATCTCAGTTTCTCTTCAGAAATATTACCTCAATGTTAGATTTATGTGAATTATTCAATGCTTTTTAGCCATTGAACGAGAAACTTTTAAGTTTGTGAAATGACATTAAGTAGTCCTACCCATATCGAGTAAATACAGTATCGGTATATGGTCCAATTCATTTCTGGAATATGAAGTATAATGATTGTTATCTCAAGAAATGGAATTACTTCTTAATTTTGTTATCTAAAATCTCACGAAAAAACAAACACAATCCCACACTCACAATGCTCTGGTTCATTTAATTGAAGATGAATGAATTTTTAGGCAGATAATACGCCAGTAGGGGGAACCGGAAAACATCCACAAAGTAAGAGAAGCCACCCTACTCCTTCTCACTTGAATCGCTGACGGATCTTATGATCTGAAGTGCACGGATAGACCCTAAACTAAATGGAAAAATATCACACCTCTTATTGTTCTTACTATTCTGATCAAATGACGGGGGATAAAGCAGTTAATGCGATTTTAAACCAAGTGTGCCGTTTCAAAAGGCACACGTAGGTTGATTTCAATTCAACCGCTCTGACAGCAATCTTAACTATCTTCGCAAAAACAGGTAGCAAAAGGAAACTTTATTTGTCCCAGCTTTAAAACAGTGCATGCTGTTTTATTCCAGCCACTTCGCGCGTAGCCTTTGAAAAGCGCGACGCGTCGCTTTTTTTAATGTTAAGTTAAAGAGAAAAAAGGCAACGTTTCCTTTTTAACACGACGCCGCCCTTTAAAATGCGACGTGTCGCTTTTAATATTATATTTTATTTATAGATCGACTTTCCTTATAGAGAGAGAGAGAGAGAAATGGGTTTTAACGTCCACTCGACACAAACTAGGTCATTTCGAGACTAACATATGGTTTAATTTTATTTCAATAATTCGCTTGCGCGTAGGGGTCTTTAGCAGTGGGAGGAAACCGGAGGACCCGGAGAAAACCCACGAGGTTGGACAGTCGACCCTACTCCTTGTCACGTACAACCGGGGATTCGAAACCACACCAGTTGACTCAATGACGACTTTCCTTATAGGGAGACTTCATTATTTTACATTTTACAATATATTCTTAATGACTAATAAACTGGGTTCTTAATTTAGCTGTAAATTCAGTATTATTCACCATTCACAAATGCCATTAAATTCAAATATCTTTCTTGCGTCCAATAATTACTGCATTGAAAAAACAGTACTAAATGGCAAATGAATTCTCCTGGGACATGCGCATTTCATCACTAAAACTATAAACTATATCCATTAAGAAACAAAGACACTCGACGTCGGTCTTTTTCTCTATAGCATAACACTTAAAAATGCGTCGTTTTTCTCAAAGGCGACGCGCGAAATGGCTGAAATAGAACACCATAGATCACCGACGATTTGTTTTTTCAGATCAGTTTAACTTTGTCGAGCGAACGGTATATTTTCCTTTCCTTTAAGTTTCAACTGACCCCTTGACCCTAACCTAGGATCTGGCGTGTAACATGAGCTCATAATATAAGAGATTCATTTGAGTAGACAGAAATTTATTCTATATACCTACAACGTATACCACCAGCTGGTGACATTGAATCTATATACGTTCATATAAACGCCCACCTGTAATCAATTCTGAATAATTGTTATACAAAACCCTTTAATCATTATATTATTTAAGTATGTACTCTATGCATGAGTTCCACATCACTGTCTTCGCCTCTGCATGATCAGTCCACCATTTCTTGTGATATCCCAACATATCCGGATTCTGTATATGTCAGCATTAAAACACACAGGCTATACATGGTTGTCGCATGGATGTGCGGTCTCAATATGGCCGATCTGTCATTTCGGGACTAACACATGGTTCAATTTTATTTCAATAATTCGCTTGCGCGTAGGGGTCTTTAGCTGTGGGAGGAAACCGGAGGACCCGGAGAAAACCCACGAGGTTGGACAGGCGACCCTACTCCTTGTCACGTACAACCGAGGATTCGAAACCCCGCCAGTTGACTCAATCTGTCGATTAATACCAGAGTTATTTATTAGATTGTTGGTTGAAGTACATATTGTGACTAACTAAGCACACTTTTCGAGTTCTTGAGAAATGTCCTCCAGAATTTTATGGATCGTTTCCTGCTAGTAGTTATTGCTATTGTTCGACAGAGTTATTGCTTGCGGTCTCCAAAACCTTATCTTCACATCCACCCGTCCCGAAAGGCTCCGATCGATCTTATAATATTGGGAGACATTGTAATCTGAGGGGATATTTTTCTGGCTGCTGATGTCACTTAAAATTAGCAGGGCATATGTCAATGTCACAGGCCTGTGTGACTGTTTGGAATTTTTATTTCCTTCTCTTGGCGGTTGTGGAGTTGGGGATTCAGCTGAAAATACTTTGACATTGACAATTTGTGTGATTATTGATATTTTATTCGTCTTGAAAATTCTTGTTTAAATTTGGCCATTAATGTCCAAACAGTGTTCAGTATTCGCATTTCTGTAACGGCGGCTTGCAACCAAGTGCCTGAATGTTTGGGAACAACCACCCACGTCATGTCCGCCATTGGCAGATGGATCACATAATTAACCTCAAATCCGGAGTTGAAGCACGGCGACGTTGAAAGAATATATCGTTTGTTAAAAACATTCTCCATCTTGATGGAATGAGTAATCACCGAAAACCTTTTTTTTATTTGCCTAAATATTAATCTTATTAATAAATGATTCTCTACTACCC